GTGGGAGCAGGCACAGCCTAAAGAGGAAAACCCTCAAAAAAAAAAAAAAAAACTTTAGCAGTACAAATTATCCAGGTTGTAGATTATCAAAAGATCAACTTAATAAAGTCCACATTAAAAATAAATTTTTTTCTTGTCTGTTTCTTTAAGTGGAAACAAAGTTTTCTTCTTGATCCCTCTGGAATTGGAAAATATTTGGGAATATTCTTATTTTGTGGGAGAAGGATTATTTGCATAAGTTCAATAATGTTTGTTGCATTGATTCAGAAATAAGAAACACTCATTATTGGACAGGACTTTGGCTGGAATATCATATCTGAAGATTAATTAGAAAACTATGGAACTAAGGTGGATCTCAGTTAAGCTAACAGAAGCTCTTAGAGAGATGACCTGGTACCATAAATAGTTCTGCCTGGTGGAGAGGATCAGAGAAGATACATGAAAGAATGTATAACATAAAATAACCTGGACTTTTCCAGCCCAGCATTGTAATCAGTAGAGATTGCAAAAGAGCAACCACACCAGAGAATTATCTTGAGAAAGACTTTGAAGAAAGAAAGAGAGACGAATCTTTGCTAGCAGGTGGTATAACATAGAATACACTTGGGCAGGGCTGAATTGAGAAGGTATATGTGTGACTAGTGTGCTGGGCATTTGCTTTTCAACAATTTGAGTAGTTGACATGTAAATATTTTCTCAATAATATTTAAAAACATACTGTTTCTGTTGTTATAGAGTCACAAACAAAATTATACAAAATTATAAGAAATATTTTGAAATTTTGAAAGTTATTTATTAACTTTCAAGAACTATGGAGTATGATTTAAAATTTTTTGATATGTAAAGTAAGTGTTTGTGGAAAAATGTAAAAAAAAAAAAAAAAGATTAATGAACTACAAGCTGGCTCCATAGTCTGGTGGTTAAGGCAGCAGGATCCCACATGGCTTACTATGTGGTTCAAATCTCAGCCTTTGTGGCTTGAAAAACACACCAGGCATCTGTGTGTGTGTGTGTGTGTGTGTGTGTGTGCGCGCGCGCGCGCGTGTGTGCCCCCCAAATTCCAACATAGTGGACAAAGGGAGGGGGAGGGCTTACAGAGGAGCCATGCCACCTTGGAGCGTGCTTTCTCTTTCCCATCTCTCTGTCTCTCTCTCTCTCTCTGGAGTGTATGTACCCTCTGGCAAAATTAGAAAAAAAGAAATGACTCTGGTCTTGGGGTCAGCAGGGGGTGTGGTGGTTGGGGGATGACCCAAAGTGAAATACATCCACATTGGTGATTCTCTCAGTTTTTATAATGTTGACTGATGTCAGCAGATGAATATAAGTTAAGTATCTCCTATTTGAAATGCTTTAGATCAGAAGTGTTTTGGACTCTGGATGTTTTTGGATTTTTGAATATTTGTACATTTATAATGAGATATCTTGGGGATGGTACCCAAACACAAGATTTATTTATGTTTAATATATGCATTATATATGTGGAGTCTTTTAAAAGTTTGTGGAAAATTTATACTATGTGAAACCTGTGCATGGATTTCAAGTTTTTTGCAGAAAAATAAACTTGTACTTTAATTCTGTTTTTTTTTTTCTTTATGAACTTCTCAAAGTATCTTCTTGAAGGTAATTTTTTAAAGAATTATTTAAATTTATTTATTTATTTGTACGTACGTACGTACATACATACATATCAGAGAGAAAGGGGTGGGGAATGAGAAAGCTAGCTGTCAGGTCCAGGACTCGAACTGCGATCAACCATATGGGAATCCAGCATCCATAACCACCATGCCACCAGCCAGCCCTATCTCAAAGGTAATTTTATTCAGTATTTTTGTATTGTAGTGTTTTGATTGTAAACCATTACATGAAGTAAAGTGTGGAATTTTTCCCTTGTAGCATCATGTCTATGTTCAAAAAGAATGAGGTTTTGGAGTATTTCAGATTTTGAATTTTTGGATTAGGGATGCTCAGTCTATACATATAATGTGAAACTACATTCATGTAATTTTGAAACACATGAAATAAAACTAGTAATTATATTTATAAAGTGTTACAAAATTGAAATAAAACTGTTCTTATATAAAAAAATATATTTATAATAAAATATAAGGATACATATTTAAAAACCCCAACAAATTAAGAATCATTAACTGGGGGCTCTGGCAGGTGGCGTGGTGGTTAAAGGCACTGGATTTCCACATGGCCCACTGGCCTGGCAGCTTGCTTTCTCCCTTTCCCTTTCTTTTTCTATGTTTCTCTCTGGTCAGATTAAAAAATAATGATAACAAATGGGATTAAATAAATGAATAATTCTTAAAAAAAAAAAAGAGTCATTAACTGGGGACTGGTAGGAGGTAAACTTGATATTGATAGATTTGGGAAGAAGACCCAGAGGTCCAGCTATTATTGTGAGGGATTATTTCTCATGCTAGTGGTGTGTGTAGTTATCTTTTTTTTTTTTTTTTAAACACGTCTTTATTTCTCTAAAATGTTTTCCAGTTACTTACCACCCCCCCCTCCCAATTATCATTTCATTCCTTTTATAATCCCGCTGCTAATGATGTGAATCTTTTACAGTTCAGCAGTAGTTAGTGGCTGGCCCAGAGTGCCTGAAATCTACTAGGAAGCTGGTTCCATCTAGTGGGAAAGATATTGCAAGTTTTCTATAAGACATTTCTTTTAGAAAGGTAGAGGTAATGGTTATCCTTACTGCTCTTTATTAAAATTTAAGAGACAAAGGAAAAATTTATCATTTAGATTTATTTAGTCTTTGCCATTATGACTGTAGTGCTGTAAATTTTCTAGGACTTTTAGGCAGACCTGTAGGACTCAGATGGGTCTCTATTTCTAACTTGTATATATTTTGTTTTTCAGAAGGAGTTGAGCCTTCCAAGAAGAGGCAGCTTGTAAGTAAATTATTATTACCATTAAGATTATTATAATGATCTCCTGCATAGAAATCCCTCTTGAGGGATGCTCTCAATATCTTTTATAGGAATCACATTCAAGAAGTGTGTGTGTGTGTGTGTGTGTGTGTGTGTGTGTGTGTGTGTGTGAACTTGAATTCTACTGGGCCAAGGAATCCAATGGACCAGCTGACCTGCTAGGTCAAACCTCACCTCTTTCCTGTCCCTCCCTAGCTCAAATCCCCTTCACGGTCTTAATTTTTGCCTAGCATTTTAGGAGAGCTGTCACTTAAATATCCCTCGCAGTCTTATACTTGTTTTCGGATTTTCGGAGTTTTAGTAGACTCAAACTCAGAAGGCAAAGATGTTAAGACTGAAATTTGCATTTATGCTTGTCCCATAACTCGGTACTGAAAGGAGAGAGATCAGTGTTTCTGACAAGTTAGAGCAAAGGCAGCTAAATTTGGAGACAAAATTGAAATAGGTTCTTAACCTGTTGTTTTAATTTTGCCTCCAAGGTTGGGGGAGATTGGTAAATAGTCTTTGTTCCTAGATTTTAATTTCTCATATTTTCTTGGACTGCTTTTTTCTCTAAGAATTCTATTGGGACAGTATTAGAAACATGGCTTATCCGGGACCAGCAGTTAGCATAATGGCTATGTCGCTGGATTCCCACATAGTCCACCGTGATTTGTGTCCTGGACCCGGTGGCTTAAAACTCACGCCGGGCACGTGTGCGTGCGTGCCCAAGGTCCCGAGAGGAGAAGGGAGGAGAAGGGATTGTGGTGTTGCTATCCCCCTCGGGGGTGATTTTTTGCTTTCTGTCTCTCTGTCTCTCTCTGTCTGGTGATCGCATGCACCCTATGGCAAAACAAAACAAAAAAACAAAAACAAAAACCTTTCCAAAAAAAAAGAAATATGGCTTATCAGAATCATCTGAAGTGTTTGTTAAAATACAGCATCTAAACTTACCTTATTACAGTCTCCATTTTGGAGACTAGGAACCTGCATTTTATACACCTACGCCACACCACACCCAAACCCACCATGGTTTACCAAATTTGGGAAACACTTTTCTTCTTCAGACTTCTGGGGAATTCAAGCTATGATAAAACAAGGCTTTGAAACTTTTAAAAAAGAAACTTGAAATGTAATTGATGATATGACAATATTCATATTTATTTAAGACTACCACAAATATACAAAACATACACATTTTTAAGAAATTTATGAAGCTCAGTAAATCTTTCTGTTACTGTCATTTTAGGAGCTTGTTTTATAAAAATTCGTTAATAACTAAATTGTCCCCTGAGAATTTTGTAAAGCCTCTTTGGCTGGTTTATGAATACACATTGTGGTTTGATATAAAGAGACTTTAGTATAAATTAGAAAACTGTCTTGGCTGTGCCACTTAAGTAGCTTTGTAAACTTAAGCCAATTACTTCACCTCCTTAAATCTCATTTGCCTTATCTATATATTATTGGGTTTTATTGAAAAGTCCCAATGCATTTAAAAAAAATTGGGGGGGGGATAGGTTTTTGCTATCTGATGCGTGCACTCCCCATAAAGACAGAGAGAGACAGAGAGACAGAAAGCAAGAAATCACCTCCCCCCCCAGGGGGTTGACCATGCTACAATCCCTTCTCCTCCATTCTTCTCTCAGGATCTTGGGCTTGCAAACACATGGCCCAGTGGGAGTTTAAGCCACTGGGTCTGTGACTTGAACTGCAGTTGACTACATGGGAGTCCAGGATCATAGCCATTACGCCAATTGCTGGTCCCAAAGTCCTGATGCATTTTTACACAGAAAAATATGTCATGACTTTTCTGACGACACAGTATAAAATGAAGATCATGATACCTGCTTCTCCTCCTTATTAATGCTATTAGAAGGGTATTTAATATATGGGATAATGTTTTATTACTTATATTCTTATTCTAGGAGGCATTACTTTAGAATTCTTATGAACACATTGGGTTAAATTTGGATACCTTCTCTTATTTGAGAGCCATATTTCTTCCTTTGAATTTGTTTTAGTTGTGGACTGAAGTTCTAGCTTCACAATGGTCCTGAGTCTTCTCTGAACTGGGCTAGGGTGCCCCAGGACTCCCAGGGGAGAGATGTACTGGGTAGGTGTGCGTAACTGGTAGGGAGTGGCTCTTCAGCGTTAAATTCAGCAAGTCTTTCTGCTTGTCACTTCTGTATTATTCCTGGCAGACGCCTTTTGCATTACCCATTTCAGGCTTACAGGTCTTTGCCATTGGCATATTTTTTCTAGTATACTTCATGGGCAAAGAGAAATTTGGAGTTTGCAACTATGAATAGTTTGATGTTCTTTTCTCTTGCGAGTCAGTTTCAGTTAACTTAGCATAGTTTTTTAACATAGCTGAGTGATATTAGATAAATAAAGATCAGTCATTTTGGAGGCTCTCAATTGTTATTTTTCTGCATAATATGGAAGTTGCTTTTTAATGTACAATAACTCAAAAATGGATTTCTAGACATGTGATAGTTTGTCATTATGCAAAATATATACTCTTCAACTCCAAAAGTAATTCCTCTAATGTTTCCAAATTGGTATGTGGAAATAAGGCGTAGAAAGGAAGAGTTTGGGCTTATGAGCCAGGCAGACCCGGATTTGAGTCCTGGCACTACTATTTCCTAGGTGTGTTTTGGTAAAACAGGTTACTATATTTTTGTCTATGTGCTTCCCTCTATTTTTTTTTTTTAATTTTATATGTTTTTATTTTTAACATTAATATGCTATACATCATTACAGTATACAAAATGAATTTTTCATCCAAAATACATTGTTTGTTGGCTCAATCAAGTACATCAACATATGTGTTATCAACAAACAAGTTTTTTCTCTTTTTTTGCCTTCCTTGATTCCCTATCCCTAACCCTCTGCCCTGTCCAACCCTCTTCCCATTGTCTCTGTTATCCCTGTTTGCTTTCTTTTTTTTTTTTTTTTATTTTATTATCATCATAATCTTCTTTCTATTACACTAGATTACATATAACTTTACATTGACTTCCATTGCTTTTTCAAAATGGGATGCCATGCATGTCAGTCAATACAGAGATATCAATCTCCCCGCTTTATCATTCAATATCTTTTCCATGCTTTTCCCAATAATTGTTATTATTATTTTTTTTAAACAATCAATCACTATTTCTCATTTTTGCTTATTAAAAAGACTTCACCCATCATGAAATACTTCCCATACCGGTTCAGTTGAGAATACTATACATGTCATCATCAACAGGTAATAAACCATATCTATTTCTCATTACCATCCTGCCTCTCTATTGTTCACTGCTGTCTTTATCCTCTTCTCTCTCCTTTTTTTTTTT